GAATACTGCTATATTTGCACAGGAAGAAGGCCTAATTTTGACCTTTCATGCAACAGGTTTATTGTTTTTGGATTCTGGTTGCATGCCCTGACCTTCACTTAACCCTTGTTGACAGTGAGGGCACTGTCAATTTTAAGTTTGGGGTGGAGGTTGAATTTTTGTGGACAACAGGTTTAATATGGATAACAGGGTTAATTTTGAAAAGTTTTGAAAATTTTGAAAAGGTTATTTTATTAGGTAAATATTTTAAGTAAAAGGGAAAACAGTTAAAACAGTGAAAATTTTGTGATCTAAAATTTTTGCTCGATTGGTTTTTTGAATGATGAGCTGAAGTGATGAGTTGTTAGTTGAAAATGTGTGAATGATCCAATGATTGAGTAGTTGCTTAGTTGCTGTGCTTGATAGGAAGTTGTGAGTTCTCTTTGATGCTTGAATTGTAAGGTTAAAACCTATGTTTCTTTAATTTTAGGGAAACTGATGCACCAAGGGGGTCAAAAGATTTCAAATGATTATGTTGAGATTGAGTAGATAATTTAGCCTTTATGATTTTGCTTCAACTAAATAATTTCAGAACCTTCTTCTGATTTCTTAAAGTTTATGGTTTATTCCATGTGAATTTGAAAAAATGATTAGGGCAATTCTTAAATGTTTTTAGCCTTTCAAGCTGACCTTAATGATCTCCTCCTTTGAACCCATATTTTAAGCTTAAAAAAAATTATTTTGTTTTGAATCCTAACATCTTCCGCAACCAAAACCAATGGAGAAAAACCATGAATTCCCTAGCTTTGAGATAAATGGAAGTAGGAGGGACAAGGGATGTGATGAGATGCTGAAATTATGGAAGGTTGTCAGGGGTAATGGAAATATTCTGAAAATTCAAAGTGAAACCAAGCTGTGATTTACTGCTATTTAATTTTTTGATGTTTTGTTGTTAAAAAAAAAAGAGAGAATAATATATAAATATTTAGTTCAATTCCATGAAAGCTTGGTGAGAAGAGAATTAATTTTGGTACAAGTTTTAGGGAATGGAGGTGGTTGGAATGAGTTCTGATTATAGTCAACTATTTATCTCAAAGCATTTGTATACCCTATTCTTTGTTTCTTTCCTAAACCATGACTTCTTGGCCACGTTACAAGCTGAAAAGTCCCTTTGATTTCAAATTTATGTGAGATAAGTTGTAGGTGCAGAGGGAGAAGGAGTTATGCTCATAAAGGTATGTGGTTGAAGGTTAGTATATTGGCTAAAGTTTCACACTCTACTGGGACATTGTCATGAGAGATGTTCTTTGACCCTGTACACACCCTCACACTCCAAAATCATTGAAAATCTATTTTAAGCTCATGAAACTTGCTTTTTTGGGTGATTCAGTAATTTCCTATCTTGTATATTTCTTTGAGCATATGATGAGGATATAGCCATTCCTGCATTCTTTGATGTACAATTTGTTACCCAGTTGCTAGTTTGTTGTTTTACTCAAGGACGAGTAAAAGTTTAAGTTTAGGAGAATGATAACCTCTCGAAATTCCTACTTATTCAACTTGTTTTAGCTCTCTTTTATGTGTTTTGCAAGTTAATTGTGCAGGAAAAGGCCCGAAGTGAGCAAGGAAGAGAGACTAGAAGCAGAGAAGCTAAAACAAGGACCAACTTCCGCAGTGCATGAGGAAAACTACCACAGCGTTGTGATAGAAAATAAGGGAAGCTATTCGGTCTAATCTGTTGTGATGTCTGACCATATCTGCCATAATGCCCCCATCTGACCCAAGAAGTTGGATTCTATGTAAGGTGCTGCAACGCCTGATTATATCTGTCGTGGTACCCCCACCTTTTCAAGAGAGTCCCATTTTGTGACATCCCCCTGCGGCAGATGACCACATTTGCCACGGTGCCTGACCCCTTGCAACTATGCGTTTTATGCTGTAACTTAAAATTTAGGGTTAATATGTGGGAAGACTCATGGTTTTGGGGGACACTTTGCCTTTAGGGCTTATTTGGAGGCTTGCTCTGCTAGGGTTTGGAGGTTTTGAAGCTTGGGATCTTTGGGCTTAAAGCTACAAGAGATTGGAAGTTTTTTCTTCAATTTTTCTGGGTTTCTTTCTTCTCCTCTCCTTGTTTCTGTAATGGCTAGTAATTATTCTTATAGTTGTGGTTTTTTGCTAAACATGTATAGCTAAAATAGCCTTCCTAGGGTTATTTTGATCTACTGTATGGATTAAGACTTGGTTTAACTCTCTCTTTAGTGTTGATGATAATGTTTTGTTGTTTTTACCTTCAGCTTAATGCTTTCTTGTGACTGGCCATCATTTGGATTGATTAATTGGTTAGTTGAAGCTTGAGAAAGTTAAATTAATCTGTGAACTCTGGTCAAAACGTGCTAGTCTGAAATTTTATCTTATTAAATGGAAAGTTTGTTGATAGAATAGAGATATATCTATTAACCTAGCATAGCCTAAAAAAGGTTTTTGGTTTTCAAAATGCAACATTTTCAAACAAATACAAGAGATTGCTATGTTTTATTGTGATTGCAAAAATTTGGTTTTGACTTGAGAAAGCTTAATCAATTCTACAAACCCTGGCTAACTGAACTTATTGTTAACTACTACTTAAGAAGTGATTAATCAAGTTTTATGAAGTATTTTAGTGAAAAATAACCCTAGACCCTTATTTGTCTCAATGTCAAGTTGATTTCACATTGATTTAAATCATTGTTTTCCTAATCTCATTTCACAAACTCTTTTACAACTTTTGCTTCACTTAACCTAATCAAGAACACAATTATGATTTTTAACTCATCTAGCCTTAGTCTCTGTGGGAACGATACTTTTTATATTACTTGCGACCCGTCCGCTTGCAGTTAAGCTATTTGGCGAACAGATATCTAAAGAAGAGCTTGACCAGTAATTACAAGAAGAAATAAAGAGAGTTCAAGCTCAACTCAGTCAAGAACACAAGGCGGAGATGCAAAAGATGCGTGAGGAATTTGATGTCAAGTTTCAACAGGTTATGATGATGATGGGTATGACTAGATTCTAGATGCCTCGAGTTTCTGAACCGTCACAGGTAATAATCACACATCTTCTCAAGGTTCATTTAATCTATTTAAACTTATTTAATATGCCTTAAGTAATTTCTTTCTATGTTTCAGGATTCACCTATGATTAGAAGTGGGAAGGGCAGTAATAATCAGACGTAACAGCTGACAGTGTCTAACCCTGACCTTACCCAAGACAATGGACTGCCATGTGCTCTCTATGGGTTTTTATCATGGATTAGTGGCTCTTTTTGTGAGAATTATGCTTAATTTAGATTAAGAGTCTCTGCTTTGAATTAGTGTCCTTTTTAGAATAAAATTATCATAATTAAATATTAATTGTATTCAATTGATTTGTAAGACAATTAATGCTTTAAATTATTGCTTTTCATTATAGGACACTTGAGAATTAGGGCCAAGATTAAAGACCAAGGGATTACACAACATGAGAACTAAGAGTGTTGATTCTGGAGCTATTGGCCGTGGCATTGGTTGTGGGTTCGCCGTGGCCAACGATCTAGATCTAGGCTGAAGACTCTTGGGACCTGTTGATCGCGGTATTGGTTGTGGCAAACCCCTTATATTGGCAATGCCAGATTCAGATTAGAACACAAAGATGGAGTACCTATTCATATAATCCGACCCAGATTGACCCTTTTAAACCTTAGAAACCCTATTTTCGAAAGAACACTTCATTGTCTTGTCTTCTACACCTCTGTTCTCTCATCTTCTTGCCTCTCCATCTCCATCTTCTTTCCCATCCATTTCTTTCACTTTTTCGCCACCCCATCTCATCTTCCTCTAATCCTATATGCTATGGCCAATGATTCTACTCTAATTGGAGCTATTTCAGAAGCTATGAAGGGCTAGAACCCTCTTGAAGATGGAAGATGGTGCTCGAGTTTTCAAGCTTCAAAGAGGAGTTTAGCTTCAATCTTTCATTTTTAGCTATGTATTTACGGCTTCCTAGGTCTTAACATTTGTATTCTCATTTCCAATTCCAATCCCAACCTGTTAAAATCCATAGCTATGTATCGAATGTGGCCTCAAGGTATAGAATTTATGATTAGGTTAAGATGCAAAATTGTCCCGAAACTTTTTACCCAGGTGATATATGGGGAAATATTTATATTAATTTTATTTTATAATTAGGCATAAATTATACAAAGGGAAAAGTAATGTTCCATCCCATGAATGATTTTCCAATACCATGGGAGGTGGTACTATTATGTAATCACATCTAAGTATATGATTTTTAGATCCAATTTAATTTTAGTCTCAAATTTTAAATCTATGATTTTAGTCCCCAAAATTTAATCCATCTTAAAACGTTAAAAATTGTCATGTAGACTCACTAGACGATATCTAAGTATAACACAGAGCAATTATATATAGAGATTTATTCTCAAAATGCAACACAATAAATAGGTCCTGAATCGAATAGCAAGGAGGAAAAGATCTAAGGGCTAAACAGTTGTGTTTTGAAAACCTGTTCTTGTTCTTTTACTGTTTTATTATCCACACAAAATTCAGTCAAGTATCTTCTGTGTGAGTTCACATTATCACTTTTAAAAATGCATCCTGATAATTACATTAATTTGTCTAGAAAATTAATAAAATGCGCCCTAGATGAACTAGATATCCCATCTACTAAAGCCTTGATCGATTCTAAATTTTTAAAAAGCATTAATCATCATATAAGAAATGTCTCTTAAAGTCCCACAAAACCATCCTTCCATTGCACTTGAAACTCATGCATGAGAAAATATCATTAACATCTTATCCCAAGTATAAATTTTCCCGTCTTTTGAGTTGAAAGCTGCTGAGTTCTTCGGTCAACAAAGTAATGTTTTAGTTACACATAAGACAGATATGGAAATTGGACTTTACTCAAGTCCATTTTTAATAATCCAAGAGTCTTAAAACTACTGACTCTTTGAAGTGCCCTCTGTGATGCCTTTACTCGAATTATTGAAGGTAGATGAGGAGAAAACACTACCAACATCCAACGCCATTGGAATTGAAAGGTCCAAATCTCATTTTTACTATATTAAACCATAGGATACAGGGCACCATGACCTAAAACAGAATTAGATTTCTTGCTCTCCCTAGTACAAAGAACTCCTTACTACAACAAAATAAGCAAGTTACATAAAATGATGCCATCAAACCAGATAAAGATAACACTACAGATTAGGCAGAAATTACATGAAATCATCGCGGTGCAGCATAAGCTTGGGTTGAGTCATAAGCTTGGGGATATGTAGGCTGAGGCGACACAGTCTTGCCATATGCAGCTGTTGCAGTAACTTGTGCGGCCCCATAAGCTGCTGTTTGTGGGTTAGACTGATCATATGCCGTCTGAGCAGGTGCTGGTTGAACATAACCTGGCTGCGCAGCTGGTGCTGCACTATATGCTGGAGCAGGAGTACTGCTGTAAGCAGCAGGGTCTTGGGGAGCTTGGTAACCATAACCTGCATTGGTAGCAGCTGGCTGCTGTTCAGTGTAAGCTTGCTGTGAAGAAGGATATGACCCGTAAACCCCAGTAGGAGCAACTTGGCCATAACTAGGTGCCTGCTGGGTTCCAGGTTGAGCGTAGCTCGGCTGACCACCTGGTTGTGTATATGCAGCACCAGACGTAGGTGGTGGGTGGCTGTAACCATCAGCAACTGGGGCAGACCCATAAGTAGGATATGCTGCTTGTGATGGTCCACCGGATGCATAGGGGTATGGCTGCTGTGATGGCATGTTCGAACCATATGATTGGGTAGGAGCAGAACTTTGATAAGGCATATCCCCTGGTTGAGTAGCTCTTGGAGGACCATATGATTGTGCAGGCTGTGCCTGTGCAGGCATGCCATATAACGGCGGCTTACCAGCAGCAAAATTAGGTTGAGCGCCAGCCTGTGGATAAGTTGGTTGAGAAGATATATGTCCACCATAGGGATGTTGGGGGGGTGCACGATTATCAAATCCATGTCCATAACCTTGTTGAGGAAACCCAGATTGAGAATATGCCATCTGATGACCATAATCTGGGCCTTGTGGCTGTCCATAGTTGTAATTGGCCTGGGCAGATGGTGGGCCCATGGAAGGTAGAGGGGAAGGACCAGCACCATGTGGGGGTACTGAACCAGGGTGCTGATTTGGTGGCTGAGCATCTGACAAATGACCTTGTCCTCCATAATAGTCATAATTGCCACTGTGCGGGGGTGGACCTTGCATGCTAGGGTGAGACCTTTGCTCCCAGCCAGAGCCAAAGTTGCCTCTTGGAGCCATGTGTTGGGCATAATTTCCATATGGTGGAGGTGCATACTGTGGATTGTGAGAATGATATGGTCCCCGTTGCTGATTATCATATGATGTAGGGTGGCCATAATGAGAACCTCGTTGACCCCATTGGGATGCAACCCCGGATCCTCGGGGTGGACGATAACCCTGCTGACTAAACCCCCCTGTTGATGGCCTGACAGGCTATTCAAGTAAAGCAGAAAAATGGACATATCAGCTAATTGAATGTTTCATAATCAGAAAGGAAAATGTATTTTAGCAGAGTCGAATCGCAAAGAAGCAAATTTAATTGAAGAAAATAGCATGTTAAAATGATGAGATTACTAATCAATCAAGTGAACAAAAGATGAACTGACCAGGATTAATAAAGATCAACCCATTATATCAACACTTGGCATTGCAAAGAAAGAAGCAAATTTATAACTTTAGCGATAGCAATAGGTTATCCAGAGTGCACTAAACAGTTTAAGAAAAAAACGCAGCCCAATGCACAAGGCCCCTACCAGGTGGGGTCTAAGGGAACCAAATGTACACAACCTTACTCCCGCAGCAATCTTTCAAAATAGCACGATACCAATAGCATGTCACATGCTCAAAGCAAAACTACACAAGTTAAACTAAACTCTACATTTCTTTTTTAACCTTAACTAGACTCTAGATTTTTTCCCCCCCACTCTAACTAAATTCTAGATAGAACCAGACCCCATGCGTTACATATATCTTATGACAGAGGAAAAGATCTCACCTCAGCACATATGGTAAAAAAAGTAGAAGCCTGAAAATGCCCAAATCAAAACTCAGATCAAGCGTCAATAGGAGCTAAATCTTATCCCACCTCCACCAACATTTTATGAGAGATCTCTATAAATTACTTTAAGAACAAGTAGCAACAGCTACCTGATCTTACAAGGCACCTCAATTTAACTACTGTGATTTAACAAGATACTACTTTCTTCTCTTAGATACTGTGCAAAATTGAAGACAGTGGAAACGGAAAACAAAGTCTATCAGGACGATATATTAACGAGGAATCAATACATATATGGAATATGTCAAGATTGCCAATGACCATTAATAGTGATCATACCACCAAAGATTGTCATTCTACAATGAAGGTCCCTAAGAATCGCAATGAGCAATGAATATAAGCCAACAATGACAATTACTCCATACTAGCTTCAAAAATAAGTTACAAAACATTTATGCTGAGTATAGTCTCAATGAACCAACATCACCAACTAGGTTTATTAATTCTCCACAACTGTTGCCAATTCTAAACACGTAGATGTTACATCTTTCATCCTCAAATATCACAAGGCAAAACTATTATCAGAAGCAAGGTATGGGCATGGTAACATGATATACTTGCACTACCCATGGTCACATGGCAGCTAAAATACCAATCGCCTCCAACACAATGCACACACCAAATGTCACTGATTTCTCATGCTTGCATTATTCAGCACAAATTCATAGAGAGATGCAAAGGACTTCACCAGGTATGAAACTTTCTTCCACAAGGCCTCATGCAAATAACAAAACGGCCTATTTGATTACCAAGTCCAGTACAATATAGTCTTACTGAATCATGATTTTTAACCTTTAAGTCTTGAAGCGATCTTACCAACCATTAACATCCCGCTATCTGAGGTTTTAATGCCTGCCACCTCTCTTCGGTGGATGAGAGTGAATATGTTGTTAATGCGACATCAAGAAAGCAATGCCGACCCCATGGAAAAGGCAATAGCCAAATCTGCATTTTTAAAGCCAACCAATGCGAAATTGGCACCTCAAGATAAATAAATCATTGCAACTGACATCTTGGTTTGCATATACGATCATCCTAGAAGAATTCATTTGACCTTGGCATTGATCATTGATCAATTTCCAAACTCGTATGAGGCACTGTTTTAGGTGTTCTATTTTACACTCCTATAGCAGCAATTGATATAATACTTCCATAAATTGATCAAACAGGCATCACATCAATGTAACGGTTCCTTGCATAAATCATGCTATGACCTCTAATTTGTGTTGCTTTGGCCAAGGCAGTTGCAGAGAAGCATCTAACGCAAATATAAGAAGCATAATCATGGATAATATTTTTCTCTACAGCCCCAATTTTTCATACATAAGAGATGCAGGATGATTGATATTGAATTAAAATTACCATGAAAGTGCAACCAATCGCTAGTATCAAAGTTTTGTTGCAAGTTGGTTCAAAGATATACATAGACCTCGTAACTATAAGAGCGTCACTCAGCAAAGTCAGGTGTAGAAAACTATTACATTCCACAATGCAGTTGTAAGTAAAGAGATATCGAGATAATATTTCCTGTAGCACTTTTACCAACAATATTTAGTACAAACTAAGAATAACAAACATCTACAAGTAATGCATGCTGGTACTGTGCAATAAATCAACACAAAGATATAGAGATCGGTTTCCTAGTCCAAAAAGAGAAGAAATCTCACGTCACGTACATATGGATCAGGGATGTGACAGAACTACGGAAAGTAACTCAAGTTGCATGCATATTTATCAGCCACAATCATCATAGGAATACAAGTTAACTCGTCATTTTCAAACATTCTATCAAAGGCACAAGCGAGATAAAATATGCATCTAATATGTTATAGATGACTCAAAATCATGGATGAATACAAGTCATAAGAAATATAGCCAAAGCCTCTAAATTAATAGCAAATGATCAGTACTAGAAAACTGGCAGTTTTTTCAACATAAGCAACGTAAAATCTCAAACAAACCTGATTCATGACTTCATTTATCATTTCTCGTGCAAGCTCAACTTGCCTCTTATCACCAGTAACTTGGACTGTCCTTTCTTTAGAATCATCCCCTTCCGCAAGATGTTGAGGTATCAACTGAATTACAAACATGAACATCAGAATGCTTGAGCAACGAAAAAATATAAGGTGACTCGGGGAGAGGGTGGAAAAGAGTCAAGTGAAGAATGTATCATCCAGAAGGACATTCTCTCCCCAAAATTTTGTGATATGTTCCATAAAGTACAAAACACTAAGGCAATACTTAACTACTGTTGGATAATATTTAGAAAATAATTGAAGTACATGAAATGTCAGCAAAGAAAAAACTTCAAAAAAAATCGATGTCATGCCAAAATCTCAATTTGTAGGAGATGCCAAGAGACTAAATGCAAGAGTCAATAAAATGCACACCATATGATGTCTAGCAAAGTAGCATATTGCATTTTTCTATTTATTTATGGCATGCTATCGTACCTATAGAAAGGCAACTATATACAGATAAAAGATCCAATCAAACATATAAATAAAAATCACAAAGCTGGATTTTGTTTAAGTTATTTAATATTAAATTAATAGGTATCAATTAATAAATTAAATAATTTAATTTAATTGATGAAATGTAGTCATAAACAATCGCTAATTTATCCATATTACATGTAAATAATTTAAGTATACCAAACATTTTGAGGAACTCTAAAACGGGTCAAAAAGCAAAAACATTTAAGAATGAATTACAAGGTTAAGAAACACCAAGCCAATGTTCTGAAGTACAACAAAAAGTGCAACAATGTCAATGAAGACTTAACATATTGCACAGTAAGGACATTACCTACACAGCATACAATGTCTAAATTGTCATAGATTAACATAGAGCTTTACATTTTTATCAATACATCAAAACCAACAATATCCGTTCATTGAAGAATACATGCACACAATAACTAACATTTTAAAATTTATATTTCATTAATAGTCACAATTAAGATTAATAATTTATCAAGCTGCCTTAACTGCAACCAAATTATATGGCACCATTGCCTAATTTAAAAACATAAACGGTATCATGTGTTTAAATTCTTCACTATAAGATAGCTCTTTAATTCCAATAATGTCTAAAATATGATAGGTTCATGGTAATGAATAACTTACATCATTCCATTACAAATTCAACATCTAACACTAGTGTCAATTTATAAGCTTCAATATAAAGCACAAGATAGAAGTTTAAATCTTATCCAGAGCTAAATGCCATCAGAGAGAGAAAAAGTTAGAGCATTAAACTTCATGGTACACGATATCAACTACCTGAATCCGTGCCCCAGATTTAGTCTGAAGCCCTTTAATGGTTTCTCCACCCCTCCCTATTATTAATCCAACCTGGGCAAAAAAGTTTTATGTGACTCAAGGTTGGAACAGAGGTCAACACATCATCCATGAATAGAAACACATTCTCGCATGACATAATAATATCATCATTATAACCTTTTCATTTGGAACTTGTATCTGAATTTGTTCAGAGCCTGACGTAGCCTGTGCAGAGGAGAGGCCTCGAGCTACAAGTGCTGGAGAGCCGCCAGCATCAGCCTGCATAATCAAATGAGACAAGAAAACGTGAACACGAGTGAGAAGAAATTTCAAACAAGAATAAAAATAAATATAGGGAATGACATCAACCTCTGCAATCACAGCATTTATTAGCTTTTCTGCCTTCTCAATACTATCCAAACTTCCTATTAATTCCACAGGCCTTGTCGTAGAGTGGGGATCAGCATCAGCGTCCCTTGTAATCTGAATCTTTGCCCCTGAATTATACTGCAGGTATCTTATGGTATCCCCCGCCTTGCCAATAAGAACACCAACCTGCAGATGAAAGGAATACATCCATCAACAAAATTGCCAGCCAAAATTACATGGAAGGCCAAGGTCCAATCACAATATGAATTTTAGTGCGATGAAGATACTACATATGGCTGCATGGACCAATAAGATGTCATTTATGGTTGGAAGTTTGGTAAGGAAGCAAAACCATGGCAGACATTCTCGCAAGAAGGTTAATTAAATAAACAAGAAATAAGAAGCGAGGACTGTCATTATTCATCAAAAAAGATAAAGAACCTATAAGTGAAAACCTAACCCACTACGCAGAGCATGAAAGACAGCCCAGGCTTTTGCCCCCTACTTAGTCTTAGTGAGGGTCCCAAGAAAAGGGCTGCCTATGATCCAGCCCAGTAGGGCCCAGTCACGGAATATGCCAGGTTGGCCAGGCCAATTTATCTAGGGATACACGAATACTCATCTTCGTGACTACTAGACCATTTTTGGGTATATGACTACTTTCGTTCTGCACCTCCACAAGACATGCAGAGGAAAAAAAAACTAGTGCAGCCTCCAGAGGAGAAAACAAGATGAAACACATCTAAAAGGTGACAAAATTAGTTACTTTATGCATACAAGCAGACAAGGTTATTATTTATTTTGAGTAATTTTTCATACACGATACAAATTGCTAAAGCCAAAAGGCAGTTTGGTAGACTTATTTCTCCAGAACATGGATTTAGTGTCCCAAAAAAACACAATTTTGAGCTTTGGTTTTTAATGTTCTATCCTGTAATTTATGTGCCAATCATACTTTTTCTTTCAAGGGCCTTGATTCCCTAACCATATTTCAGAAAACTTTCTATCTTGTTTTCTGGCTAAAATCACAAAATGACGCCACAGAAGCCTTTCTTTTATTTTGTTCCTTAATTTTATATTCCGTGCTGAGATAGCAAAGAAAGCAAGCCCCTGGCCTAGCTTCTTGAATTCTTTAACATAACCAAACAAAGCATGCCAAGTGCCAATATCTCTCCAACCAAATACAGCAAATAAATATAAACAAATTTAAACCATATCACCTTTGTAATATAAGGTTAAGGAAATAAGGAAGCATAGAGGTATGCTAGGTTCATGCACATAGGCTCCAAAGGTCCAACCAGATACTTTTAGCAAGCAGATCAGGTACTTAATAATATAATGACCCGGAATAATCCAAAAGAGAGAACATAAAAGATAGTTGATGTGTTTTCATAATGGTTTTCATATGCAAACGAAATACCAAACTAAAAAAGATAAGTATTAATCCTCACTTTATTATTAATTAAGCAAATTATTATCAGCAGTATTTTTATTCCTTAATACTACTATTGACATAGACATATAGATATTAATAAATACACTGGACAGGAAAATAATTGAGAAAAAGTAAATATGAAGAGCGGTATTTGTTTAAATTTGATTTGATTTCAGGTTGCTTGACACTTGACAATTGAAAACTCACGTAAAACTGTGTAGACCTACAATTAAAAGCCTAATGAAGTTACAAAACAAAGCTCCAACAGAGTTGGCAGTATTTAACTGAAAATCCCTAACCTTCCAACTGGTGCCCATTATTTACCCCATTCTAAACTTCTCTACCCAGCCTCACAGTACCGTTGAGTGCAGGACACAAAAAGTTTTCTTCTTCACTCCTTTCACATTTGTCTTGCTCCAGGGCAAATAAGGGGAAAAGATCTCAAACTAGTGCAAACATGATTTTTCCCCAACCCAGGGAGAAATAATTGGGCATTGGCAGTTGATTTATCCCCAGGCCAAGCAGAAATAATTGGCCTTGCCATTGGCATTGGCAGTTTCAGAATCTTTTATACCACCATATTCGGTTGCATGAGAAAATAATATCTGATCTGAGCTCAGATTTATGAGCCATGTTGAAGTATTTTTTGACCCGAAAATACAAAAGTATTTCTGTCCAACACATTTGTTCAGACTTCATTAAAAAGTTAAAAGGAGCTAACAAGGAAATACAAATAATAACAAAACAGGGATTTATCTCAAGTGGGGGGGGGGGGGAGTTCACCAGAGAAAAGTGTCTAATTTGTCTACTAATACTGACAATATTTATCTCACATGCTTCAGGACAGTGATATACAGCTAACACATGTTATAAGTTTCACAGACCTTATTGTTAGGGACCTTAATTTTAAGAGTCGTTATCTCAGCTGCAGAAGTCGGCTGCTCTTGCCCCCTAGAAGCATCTTGCTGAAAACAAGTAACATAAATTTCGGGTAAGTAAAAGATAACTTCATGCAAAGTACAATGAATAAGATTGAAGTTGATATGTCAGAGAAATATAACATGTACAATTGAACACATCTTAGACTAGGGGTGACAAAAACTCAGCTTTAGCACCTTATCGTTGGGAACCTCCACATTATTATGCTCAACATCAACAGATTCAGATTGCTCTGCAGAAGAAACATTTTGCTCAGTTGACTCTACAGAGCGCTTTTGAATTTCTTTTGATGGTTCCTCAGCACTCTCTCGTCCAGAATCCCCAACAGGTGATTCTTCGGCACCAGCATTTTCAGGAACTCTACTCGAGTTTTGCTCGTCAGGTGCCGACTCTGTATGCTCGTTGGATGGAAGTTGACCATCCGGTGAAAGAGCATTCTCAAGAGAGGATTTATCATTTTCATTAAAGGGTTCACCAGCCTGCTCATCTTGGTACCCATTTTTACTAGCTGTTGACAGTTGACACCAGAAATGCATAACATCATCAACGCAAAGTTTCTTGCTATAACATGATTATATACATGTTTTGCATAAAAGGCAGAAAGAAAAGAAATTTTCATCGATCTCATTTAACGGAATGTACCCAAAACATAATATTTTACTTAATAGCCGTGTACCCCTCATCAAAAGAAGGGATCCTAGCCTCTTGAAGAGAATCATATAAAGCCATATCATAATTTGATCAAGGGAAGAACATTTAATCATTTTTTCCCTACGACCATTAAAACAACAGTACAAGCTACAAATAAAATCAACTGCACTTATACCTAGTCCATCGAGCTCCTCCTCGATTCGGGGACGTTTCTTCTCACCCTCGTCGGAAGGGGAAACCGTTGCATCGGCCTTTCCAGCCTCATTGGGCTCTGAAATGGAATTCGCATTCGATTCAAGATGCTGTAGTTGCTCGGAGAGTTGCTGCTGGGGAGCTCCAGGCTCCAAATCTTCAAACTTGCGCTTGAGATCAGACGGGACAGGGTTTGCGTTAGCTGTCACAACTTGCTCCTCCGCCATGGGAACAAGATTCAGTCAAGATTGGCGACACCGCGTCTCTCTTATCTCTCTATATCTCGAAGCGAAGCGCGGGATTGAGGGATTAGACAAGAGAAGCAAATGAGAGTGGAACAAATGATTGTGGACAACATTCCAAAGGAAACAGATATTTGTGAGCCTGGTTTAGATTTTAGGGTTACACTAGAACTATTTGTGGGCAGGACTGGGTAATGACCCAACGGGCCTAATGATGGCGTCCATGAGATTTCAACAAACAAAAAAATGGTTCGAGAAAGCTGCTTTGGGACATCCAATTTAATCAATAGCAGGTTGGTATTTTTGTCCCATGGCAGTGGATACATACGGGTAGAAATAGGTCAGCCGCTTAATAATAAAACGTGCTTAGTTTTTAAAAGCATGTTTAAGTTTTTGCTCTTTAAAAAGCCTATTTTAAGCCTGTCAAGCCATTCTGGGCCTATTATAATTTTTTTTTTGGCCACAAGTTATAATTTTAATTATTAATTATTAATAATCCTTTCGTTCCTTATTATAAGAGACATTTGATGCTTATGGCATGTTCCTATATATAAGAGACACTTAAAAGTTATCTCTATTTTTTTGTATTGATTTCCTATTTTATCCCTATTTATTTTGTCTCCAGCTCATACTCTCTCTCCCTCCGACTTCTCTTTCTTTTAATAATTTAATTGTTCTCTCTCATACTCTCTTTCCTTATTAATAGGGGCATTGTTGGAAAAAATATTATACTTTTTACACATTAATTGTTCTCAACTAATTTTAACTATTTTTTTATCAACGTAATTTGGTTATTTGTCTCTTATAATAAGAAACGGAGGAAGTAATAATTAATTACTCTACCTTGCCTCTGTTTTTTTTTTTTTTAATCAAGGAGACTATTTTGATAGAGACCTATGTGGATTGCACCACATTGCTACTATTTTCTCCGCATAAAAGAATCCTTACCAATTATATTTATTACTTTTCTAGGTCTGTTTGCTTCCATAAAGCAAAAACACATAAATATATTTAACAAAAAACAAAAAAAAAAGAAATTGATGAGTTATGCCAAAGGTTTTGCCAACATTAAAGATTTCATCATCATTTTTCTTTTCAATTCAATTGTTAGAATCATAGTTTTTTCATGCCACTTACTATTGCAATTTTAATTCACTGGCTTTCACTATTTTAACTATAAATTTATATGAAGTTTTGGAGTAAATTATACTATTACCTCTAGTTCTTAATAAGATCTTGTTTGACTTTTATTTTGGTCCTAAATATAAGACCCCAATCCATTTTGTCTCTCAAATTTATGTATTTTTTTCCAAAGTAACCCTTCTAACAATGATAGTTCTAGCCAATACACTTGACTAGCAAGGATATTTTAGGAAAGACAATATCTATTTATTACAAATAACTAACTTAACTTCTTTTCTTAATCTCCTCAAATTAGTCAACTAGCTCTTATAATTAGGACCGGAAGTAGTATTGATAAGTTATATTAATAAGAATCAATATAAAAATTGAAGCCTTCTTTTTTACATGCGGCAAAAAGATTTTTTTATACCAGTGAATTTTTTTTTTGAAAAAGATAGGTTTTTTTAACATGCTTCAAGCCACTCTAGGTCTTTTTACAAGTTAAGCTCAAGCTAAAAAAACAGATCTATGACAACTTACAAGCCAGGCTTAAGCCTATTTATTACAAAACATGTTTGGCCTGTTTAGGGTGAAACCTAATTTATCTAGCATGTTTCTACTCCAATTAACATTATATTGCACGTTATTTAATTTCGACATTTTAAACGAATTTTCTAAGACTTCAAAGAAAGAAACACGAGAGCTCAATTCTTAGCTATATCGGAATGATGATAGTCATAAATTCCTTTGATTTAGGTCGAAAATATTATGTGGCTTGCATGATATTTATGAAAAGCTGGTAAGTGTAGGATCTTTGAGACTACAAAAATTGAAATTACCTTGTTGAATTTATTAATCTTTAATGATTCTTTGTGATTTAATGAATGTTTTTTAGGTATGGTATTAAAGCTGCGCTTTAGATAGATGGTGAACTTTGAATAATGATATTTAAATGCAAAGAAATGTATGATTTTCTACGTTTCTTCTTTTAATCTAAGTATTTTTTATATTAGATTGTTGTATGAATGTAAACATCCTATTTTGTTGAGGTCCACTAATAAACAAAAAAAAAATGAGAAACCCTTAGTAGTGTAAGGAATTGAAAGACACGCAGCGGAAATTAACCTTTAAAATTTTTCAATCCCTTACCCGGATCTACCGATTGTGTTTAAGTCAAGTAGTAAGAGGTGTTACCTGCGGCATTCGAATTGTTGATGGCTCGGGGATTCCGACGTTCGGGATGACTATACTCTCCTTTCGATCGTGAGAAGTTGACAACTCAGATCGGCTTCCTCTACCGATATCCACACGAACAGCGTTCCAATCATGAACGACGTGCTAGCGCCTCTTGTCCTTCTAAGGTTTTTGAGAATCCGTCCTCACCGTCTCTCTATTGGCCGTTTCTTATCTGCAAACATTTTGCACTCTCACTCACACAAAACCCTAGCTCCTAATATCAAATATATATAGGACGCTAAAGATATTGGATTTCAGAATTAATCCTAAATTAATTCCGAAATTAATACAATATCACATATTGCGTAATCTGATAAGAAATTAATTAAATAAATACGGTTTTTATATTAAATTCGTCCCACAGATTTAATTCACCTATTCATTTAATTCAAAATAAAGATATGACGGAATTGTATTTGATTTATTCTAATAAATCAAATTTGAGATATTATAAGATATCATATCATTCTAAATTTCAAATTTAAAAGTAATAGAGATTTAATTTATCCTTATAAATCAAATCTTATAAATATCTCTTATATCATATTATATATATACGTGAATTTATATATATATACACGTCCACTCTAGATTATTCATTGAATCTGGACATATCTTAGATTCAATGAATCTGGACATCATAGTTCGTGTTGGGCTATTTTGTGTGCGACCCTGTAGGCCCATATAAAGTTGGCAGTGGGGCATTTACTATAATAACTCACAAGTCGTAAGCGTTCTCTAGCAAGACATCACAACTACCTAAATCACATGAGGATCGATGAACGATGTAACCTTTCATACAACCCTATCACATCCCTTTTGTCACACGACATTTTGGTCATGGATGAGGCATGGAGAACGTCATCCTCCTATTCCTGACTGTTACTTTCTCGATCCCTGAGTAGTCTGAGTATAGAAATAGAACTACCTTTCTATTATAGTATGGCCATACATTTCTCAGACTCACTCATCGTGGGGCCCAGTAATATCTCTCTACGAATGTGAGGAACAAATTCCATCTTGACCATTCACATTCCTCCATATGAAAAACCACTAAGCCTGAACATAGTCTTTATGATCACTCGGTCAAAAGTGACTTTTAACTAGGTCAAAGCTGAGCGTTTCTCATATAGGAATCCATGATGATCTCAGATCAAAGGGCATAGTGACATGGTTTGTATATGAGAGAAGCTTATGACTTAACCCATACAGCTCTCTCATAGCGGGTTGGTCCAACACCTTGTACTCTTACATGTGCCTATGACTTTGATTTATATCTCATACATCTTCAAAGTCATACTAGTCTTATTTCATCTCTGCTCCCACATAGATAATCGACCAGAGACATTTAGGATAAAATCATGAGTTATCCAAGGATAGTCATCACAGTAAACATGCAAATAATATGATAACATAATTAAGAAATTCATAAATCAACGATGTTCATAACACAATGAGTGGTCCCTAGGGCACAATTTCCAACAAGTAGAACTTATGAAAAGGAGAGTAAGGGTTGGAAGAATAAAACAAAATTCTAGAGAGAGAGACGACAAGGTAGAATTTCTTTCTATCATTTTTTTAAGTCAAGAGTTGACCGATATTTCATCTTACCCTTTTCTTTATTTAAGAAAACACTAAGATTCTTGCCTGAGCCGAAGAACATCTTTAGCAAGAGATGGAGGCACACTCATTCCATCACAACTCCTTATTTGCCTCATTATATATCAATTGGAACCTTTTAAAATCATTTCTCAAAGCTTAAGGATGGAAAATTTTCAACTTTAAAATTTTCATTTTCGCATTTTCGTACACTATTTATAGAGTTTTGGACCAACTTTGGAAATTTATAACTAAATGTAAAAAAATTCAAACTGAGTGGTTCCAATTTCTATTTGAAGCTTGTCATGCCTTCTATAAGGAAAAAATACTCATTGGCCTCATATCCATCCAAACATAACCAGAAAATTTGACAAATTGTACTGTTTATTTGGTCAATTTTTGAATTTTTAGTATTTTAGCTCAACTTTAAAAAGACATATCTCTTAGCACAAAACTCCAAATTTAGTGATCTACCACTTGTTTTAAAGTTAAAAATGAGATCTATAAGTCTGTCAAATGTCAAGTCCAAATTCGTCCAATTGCTCATTATTTTATGTGACACAAAAATGCTATATGGAAAAAGGGAATTATATTCAAGAAAATTATGATCAGGGGATAAAAATACCCATGTTTTAGGCATTTTTATCCCCTAATCATAATTTTCTTGAATTTAATTCCCTTTTTCCATATGCCATTCTATTTGAGCCTTCCATCATCCATATTTTCAGCATCAAAGCACATTATGTAAACATAGGTACAAGACAATATATTCCAAAATCTGTTAAAACATTATTATAAAGTTATTAAAATATTACATAGGTTCACATACCATTACAAACTCCACATTGTTCCTTCATCCCAACGCCAATTCCTTGCCCTTGTCTATGGATGAGCCACTTCTTATTTGATACATAATTTAACATAGGAGGGAATAAGATTTCATGGAAATTTCAGTAGCAATGAATTATAATTCACATGTTTATCAAGCAAGATATAATGTGTTATGTAATAGCACTTCAAGACATCCTTAAGTCATATACAATTCATGCTATGCATCCAACAAAGAGAGGAATCAAATACACTTTCACATTATCATATCATCATGCATTTGATCAAAGCACATTAAGTGTCATCAAATTAATCATTTCACCACATATAT